GCCCACATCCATTTTCCACAGGATAGCCAGAATGAGCTTTGGATGAAATCTGGCCCTACTAAAAACCTTTAAGTCGTTCATCACCTACAGATTAAAACAAAACATTCTAGGTACTTCATAATCCACTGGCTAGCCACCTCACCAGCTGCATCTCCTGACCCTCCCTGTATAGATCTTGAATACTTTGCTAACCAGTAATGTCAACATTAGGCATTAATGTCCGCATCCTTACTTTTCATGTACAAGAGGGGCCAAAATATTCATCTTTGGCAAAAACTCATGTAATCAAATGTTAATTCCCATGGAAAGTAATGCCAAATCTTTATTGACTCTCTTAATGGAAAATAAGCTCAAGCAGCAGGCAGATAATGTCAATAATAATATCCATTCATAATTATAAGTTAAAGATAACAGTAAACTGTTATTATATTATGAATTTTTTTAAAAATCCTGAACCAACCAGCCACTTGGTAGCAGCCAAAAGAACCTGAGTCACTATGTCAGCCCTGGGAAGCTGTGCAAATGAACTAAATTTCATCCATTCTTTTTTTTTTTTTCCCATATTCCTCACTTTATTCAGTCCCATGTTATTAATTCTTGTTCTGTTTTTTTTATTATGTTAATCACCATACATTACATCATTAGTTTTTGATGTAGTGTTCCATGATTCATTGCATATTACACCCAGTGCTCCATTCAGTACGTGCCCTCCTTAATACCCATCACCAGGCTAACCCATCCCCCCACCCCCTCCCCTCTAGAACCCTCAGTTTGTTTCTCAGAGTCCATAGTCTCTCATGGTTCATCTCCCCCTCCGATTTCCCCTCCTTCATTTTTCCCTTCCTGCTCTCTTCTTCTTCTTTTTTTTTTTTTTTTAACATATAATGTATTATTTGTTTCAGAGGTACAGGTCTGTGATTCAACAGTCTTACACAATTCACAGCGCTCACCATAGCACATACCCTCCCCAATGTCAATTTCATCCATTCTAACCTGCATGTTTTATCACATTAAAATCACTGAAACCAGGATGGGTTTTACAATCTCTACTGGCCAGACCACATGTGGTTTGGAAGAAAATCCAAGAAACAGTGGTGGAGCCTTCTTAAGAAATCATCCTCTGATAGGCTGTGGGTAAAGACAGAGGTCAATTATTCTGAGGGGAAAAGTGATATAGGAGAGGCAAGTTCTAAATATGAGAAAGTTTTAGGACTACCTCATCAATTTTTCACTTATATTTTACTTTTCATGTGTATACAAGAGAAATATATGACAAAAATATAAAGAAATCTAAAAGAACAACGTCTTAATTGAAGGAAAGCCTTCAAAAAAAAAAAACGTCATAGTTTAATCAGCACCATGACTTTTCCAATTCATGCCTGGCAGAACTTAGGATGGTCTTATATGACCTGCAACTGAAGGTGTCTTCAGTTTGGTGAAATATTGTCATACACATTGGCGGGTAAATTAGACCATGTTTCAGAATCAGTATTACAAAGAACGGGAAAGATTCTTTTTTTAAGTTTTTATTTAAATTCTAATTAGTTAACACCCAGTGTAATATTAGTATCAGGTGTACAGTATAGTGATTCAACACTTCCATACATCACCCGGTGCTCATCAGGACAGGTGTACTTTTTAGTCCCCGTCACCTATTGGTATTATAAAGAATAGGAAGGATTCTTTTAAAATAGGAATGCATGTAAAGTGGAAAAGAATGATGGCAGAATTCATTCGTTAATGCAACAGTTACTGATTTAGCATCTAATCTGTGCCAAGCATTGTTCCAGGAGCAAGGGTTACAGCAATAAATAAAAATCTTTGATGTCAGGAAGTTTAATTTCATGTATGAGAGACAGACGTCCTATAAAATAACCAAATTATAGTGTTTGTTACATTTAGGAACTAGAAAGATAAAAACAGAGAGAAAGAATAGACATTTGGGAGGAGAAATGTAATTTTCGGTAGGTTCATCAGGGAAGACCTGCAGAAGGTGAGGGAGCCAGCCATGTTTAATATTTGAGGGAAGGACATTGTCAGCAGAAAAATACAGCAAGTACAGAGACTCAGAAGCGGGGACCCATGTAGTATATTTGAGGAGCACAGCAAGGAAGCCAGCGGGTCTCAAGAAAGATAAGAGAAATATAGAGTAGATGGAAATGAAGTCAGAGAAGTAAGGAGATTGGGGCTCAGCAGATTTCCTAGATCAGTGCTGGTCAATAGAAAAATAAGGTGAGCCACATGTGTAATTGAAATTTATATAGTTGCCACATCTTTTAAAATGTGGGAACAGATGAAATGAATATATTTCACTTAACCCAATATATTAAACATATTATTTCAACCTGTACATCATATAGAAAGTATTAATGAAAAAAAGTATTAATGAGATGTTTCCCATTCTTTTTTTAAAATAGTTTTCTGGGGGCACCTGGGTGCCTCAGTTAGTTAAACAACTGCCTTCGGCTCAGCTCATGATCCTGGAGTCCCAGGATCGAGTCCCGCATCAGGCTCCCTGCTCAGTAGGGAGTCTGCTTCTCCCTCTGACCCTCCCCTCCTCATGCTCTCTCTCTCTCTCATTCTCTTTATCTCTCAAATAAATAAATAAAATCTTTAAAAAATAAAAGGGTTTTCTGTTTTACAGCACTTGTAGGTCCTCAGCAAGCTTGAGTAGAAGGTTCAGAGATAGAACAATTTTTTTGTACTAAGTCTTTGAAATCTGGTGTATATTGTACACTTAAAGCACATCTCAATTCCTCTTACAGCATTTCAGGTGCTTAGTAGCCACATGGGAAGGTATCTACTATATTGGACAGCACAGATCTAGACCCTCACAGAACACTATAATGACTTTGACTTTGCTGTGAATAAATTGGGAAGCAATACAAGAGTTTTTACTGCAACAGTGACATAATATGACTTAGGTTTCCATAGGATCCTGGAATATGACTTGAGTTTTCATAGGGTCTGCTTTGTTAAGAATAGACAGAGAAGAGAATGTCTCCTCACATGCCCTAGAACAGGCTTTGGACAAACTCTCATCAAAGAGCAAAACTGAATATAGGCAAGCATAAATTCAGTAAGTGGACCTGGTGTGGGGAAAGACTGTACTAGTAGTTCTTTCAACACCCTGTCTTTGCACAGGCTATAAATGAGACAGGCTGTGTCTTGTTCCTACACATGGGGATCTCTTGTTTCCTCTCATGGACTGTGAGATCATCAAAGCAAGGCACACAACATATCTATCTTTAATACTAATCCCAGTAGCCTTGCTGGAAGTTAGCCCCTGATAAATATTTGTTAAACTGAAACCAAAAAAACATCTAAACATCCCCAAAATGGAAACAACCCAAATATCCATCAACAGAGATATATATTTAAACAATTCAATACTCTACAGCCAGGAGATTAAACAAATTAAGCTATATACCACATGGTTGATTATTGTAAACATTATGTTGAGTGAAAGAGACAAGACACAGAAGAGTATATAGCATATCATTCCATATACTCAGTGTTCAATATAGGCAACATAATCGAAGTTGACAGGATACTGGTTATATGGAGGTAGTGACTGCAAGGGACAAGAGGGGCCTCTGGGCTTCTGATAACATTCTGTTTTTTCTGGTCATTTGTACACTTTTTAAAAATATCTTGAGCTGGCGCCTGGGTGGCTCAGTCGTTAAGTCTCTGCCTTCGGTTCAGGTGATGATCCCAGGGTCCTGGAATCGAGTCCCGCATCAGGCTCCCTGCTCTGCTCAGCGGGAAGCCTGCTTCTCCCTCTCCCACTCCCCCTGCTTGTGTTCCCTCTCTCGCTGTGTCTCTGTCAAATAAATAAATAAAATCTTAAAAAAAAAATATCTGGAGCTACACAGCAGTCATAGTTGTACTTTCCTATATATACATATATTCATGTGTGAATATATAATGTATGTTGTGTATATATATATGTATGTGTGTACATATGTATGTATATATATAAGCTTTGTACTTATGTATATGTATGTATATTCAATTGAAAGCTTACATACATACTTTCCTACATATATGTAGAAAAGTACACCTACGTATATGTATGTCTGTGTGTGTGCGCATGTGTGTGTGTATTCAATTAAAAGCTTACATACAGGAGATATATCTCTCTCAAAAAACAACAAAACAAAACATTATAAATTACCTGAGGCACAGACCATTTTGTTCAACTGTGTTATGATTCAATATGTAAGAATAAATTTATGGCTAATTGAAAAACATACAGTATATATGTTTTTATAAGTGAAAACTTCCACTAGTACAACATATGTGATGTATTTTAACTCAGTTTTCCTCTTTCCTCAAGAAAGACTGTGAATCATAATTCGGAAAACATTTTAACATGTAAAAACTTAGTGTTCTTTTTATTCCCTTGCTTTTACTTTTACCCTGCAATTTCCCAGAAGGGTGTATTTTATTTAAGCATTTTAGAGCATTCACCTTCATACTGTGACTTATTCTAGTGCGGTGGCTCTCACCCCAGGGCAGTTTTGCTCCCAAGGGGATATTTGGTAGTGCTTTAAAACATTTTTGCTTGTCACAGTTGAGGGGGGGATATGCTACTGGCATCGAATGGGGAAAGGCCCTGCTAAACCTCCTACAAAGCAGAGAACAGCCCCTCACAAATAAGAGTTATTAACCCCGAAATGTCAGCAGCGCTGAGGTTGAAGAACGCTGCTCTCATTTAATAACATAATGTTGGAATTTTAAAATTAGAAGTTTTTTTCTTTACCAGTTTTAACCTCTTACATTTAAGAAGTTTTGGAGATATTGAGGTTGCTCTGTTCGAAGTAAATGAATTTTCTTTAAAAAATTGTGTATTAACATCTTTTAAATTTTTTATTTTCTTCAAAGTGTTAACCGCAGTTTTTTTGGTTTGTTTCTGAGTTTTCTTAAAAAAAAAAAAAGGAAGAAAGAAAAGTCTGAGAAATATGTTGTTTATAACAGTTTTATTCTTATTTCTCCAGGCTAGAGGAACAAAAGAATATCTTGTCAGAATTTCAAAGAGATGTAGATGAATTTGTTTTATGGTTGGAGGAAGTGGATAACGTTGCTAGTATTCCACTTGAACCTGGAAATGAGCAGCAGCTAAAAGAAAAACTTGAACAAGTCAAGGTAATTTTGTTTTCTAAAAACCCCCAGGGCCTACTTGTATAAAGAGTATATGAATCTATTTTTTAAGGTATTTAATCTTTGATTTCCATTAAGTTATTGATAGTTCATCACTAGATTTCCTCAAAACTTTACATTGTTCTGGGGCGCCTGGGTGGCTCAGTCCGTTAAGCGGCTGCTTTCGGCTCAGGTCATGATCCTGGGGTCTTGGGATTGAGCCCCACATCCAGCTCCCTGCTCAGCGGAGAGCCTGTTTCTCCCTCTCCATCTGCCTGTCACTCTGCTTACTTGTGCTCTCTCTCTGTCCAATAAATAAATAAAATCTTTAAAAAAAAAAAACTCTATATTGTTTTAACCCAGTGTCTCCCAGCAAGTATATTTTTTTGTAAAAAATGTGTGTGTGTGTGTGTAAAATGCATGGCAGTATTTTGAAAACTAATTTGAAATTGATCTTAGACATATTGGAGAATTTTACAACTCCAAACTATTTCAAAACCTGGAGGGAGTTTATAGAAATGAATCCCATTTCTTAGGAAGGATCTTAATTGCCAAATCAATCTCACTATTTCAGCCTCTAATTAGAGGTGTTCGATTTGCCTGAAACAGTGTTTGTTTTGTCTGGGAGTGGTTGGGGTGCGTGGTGTTGGTTTACATTCTATACTGGTTGAATGGACATCCAGCCTATTCAAGTGGCTTTTCATGCCTTCCTACTGCGATGTCTGCTTATTACTGATTACCTCACCTGGCTGACTGACATGCACTGATTGTGTAGTTGGATTACCTTTCCTGGTTTTGGTTTTAGGAAAGAAACTTATTTGGATTTGTTTTACTATAATTCTTGAAACGAAGGTGAAAAGGAAGGGGAAATTAACATTTAATCGTCCTCTATTATGTGCTAAGTATTAGATGTACTTACATCTGCTATTTATTTAATCTTCGTATAAAACTTTCAAAATGGTTGCTGTTATCCTCATTTTACAAGGTCATACAATCAAAGGGAAATGGAATTACTCCTTTATCAATGATTCAGTTGGTTTGTACATGCAAATTAGACTCCAATGTCAACCACTTATTTCTGTGAAACAAGAAATTTATACCTGAACAGAGGATAAAGTATAAAAATAAAATTAATGCTTAGTTCAGTAAACAAATATTGCGTACCTACTCTATGTCTGATATGGCAAAAAAACAAACAAACAAAAAACCCACCAAGTTTTGAATCTATAGTTCATTTGAAGATGGGTATGTCATAGAAAAATGAACTCAGTCTGTTCTTGAAAATTAATCTTTCCTAAATGTATTGAGTGTATGTATAGCAATATAATTGATAACTCATTTAAGAGACATGTTTAGTGGTACTTATTAATATATATGCATTGATTTTCTATTTTCTTTAGGCAGTCTAGATCAGCACTGTCCAAAAGAACTTTCTGTAATGATGGTAATGCTCTTATTGTTTATTGCAGTAGCCAAGAGCTGTATGTGCCTTTTGAGTACTTGAAAGGTAGTGTGACTGGGGAACTGACTTTTTTATGTTATTGAAATTTAATTAATTTAAACTTAAGTAGCCTCATGTGGCTAGTGATACTATATTGGACACTGTAGCTCTAGATGACACAAATAAATAAAGGACAGTTATTAACAACCATGGTGGTTCTGTAGGTCTTGGGAAAGGGCATTTATAATGGAAGACTGAATGAATAAAAGAAATGCAGGGATGTGGAGGAGTCCAAAATAGGGTTCATTAATGCAGTTGCCCAAGTTGGAATCACAGCTCCGTCGCTTGCTACTTTTGTGTCCTTGGAGCTGGTACTTAACTTCCCTGTCGGGATTTAATCTCTGTGTCTCAGCTTCCTTCTGTGTAAGAGGAAGATAATAGGATCTACCTCATAGAATTATATTATCTTAGTTAATTTTTATATAATATGTGACAAGGTTAACCCAGCGCCTGGTACCTGGTATGGTCTCAATGTTAGTTAGCTCTCAATATGATATTGCAATTTCTTAATAGTAAATTATAGCATGGATGCTTAATACCTGAGAGGATCACGAATTTACCCAGATTGCTCTATTTCTGACAGAGATGTGTTTTCAGAGTCTTAACAGTGCTTGGGGTGTTATTTTTGGAGCTCATGATACCACCTGATTCTTTTTTTCTTGAAAAGAATCTCCCAGGGATACAATATATAGGTTTATCTCCTTGGGAGTGGGTGCTCCAGTCCATCAGTTCTGCGCTCTGTAGAAAGCCATTGGTATTTGAGGTACCAGCCAACCTTCAGTCAAGTTGCTTCGTTTTGATAGACTAATCAATAGAGACAAAGACAAGATAGTTGGAATTGTGCTGTAATTCATTTTAAACGTTGTTGTATTTGTCTGTTTCAGTTACTGGCGGAAGAGTTGCCCCTGCGCCAGGGAATTCTAAAACAATTAAATGAAACTGGAGGAACAGTGCTTGTAAGTGCTCCCATAAGCCCAGAAGAGCAAGATAAACTTGAAAATAAGCTCAAGCAGACAAATCTTCAGTGGATAAAGGTTAGACGTTAACTATCTCTGCCGTCACATGTGTTAAATGTTACCAATGTTTGTATTTGTTTTGTTTCGTGGGTGTTTTATTGCTGGGGTTGGGGGAGGGGAACTGGTATGTGGATTGGTGTGTTTTTTAATCTGACCATTTGATTTGGCTCCGTGATTCATTATGGATGGCAAGAATGGTGATGGTGGATGGCAATACATTAATGACCAAATGACAAAATATATATACCATTGTTACTTTTCATGAGTTATGCTAAAGAATTAGACTGGAAAAGGGATGAAATAATTTCATCGTTCAGTTGTATACTGACGGTATTTAACTAAGATGGAGATGATCTGCTTCAAGTATTATAAATCAAAATTACTTATCCTTACTTATAGTATAGACTTAATGAGTGATTGATGCAAAAGGTGTTTTATGTATTTTTTGTTTATTTAGTTACTTAGTTGCTTAGTCACGTAACTTGTGAGTCTTTGTCTTTCTACCTTGGATACTTTATAAATCTAATATTTTTAAATATTTATCTAATTAATACTTATTCTTTAAAACTAGTGGCACATATGAATATATCACGAAAACAACATTAGTCTATCAAAAGGCAATTCTTTTCCCACTGTACTCCTGTGGCAACGTTGTCATAAATCACGTGAACATACATCTGAATCTGCTCCTGCATTCTTTATTCTCTTCCATTTTACTGTGTCTGTCCGTCAGCTATTACCACACTGGCTTAATAAGAATGATTTTTTAATGGCTTTACTGACACATAATTCATATGCCATACAATGTGCCCATTTTAAAGTGTATAATTCAATGATTTGGGTGTATTTTTGTTTACATTGTGGTAAAAAGGATATAACATAAAATTTGTCATTTTCATGATTTTTAAGTGTACAATTCAGTATCTTGTATTATATTCACAATGTGCAACCATGACCATTATCTATGTGCGAAACATTTTCATCCCTCCAAACAGAAATTCTGTAATCATCAAGCAGTAACTCCACATCCTGCTACCCACCCACACAATCTCTAATCTACTGTCTCTATGAATTTGCTTGTTCTTGTTCTAGAAGTTCATAAAAGTAGACTGATACTCTATCTGTCCCTTTGTGTGTAAATTATTTCACCTAGCAGAATGTTTTCAAGGTTCATCCATGCTGTAGCAGGTATCAGAATGTCATTCCTTTTTATAGCTGAGTAACGTTCCATTGTATGCATATATGCAATTGTTTAAATTTTGGGGATCTGCTAATCTAAACCCTCCATCTTTGTTCTTCTTAGTCCACACTTTCTTTGCTAGTTTTGGTTCATTGATTTAGCAAATAAATTTTAGAACTGACTTGTCAATTTTCACTGAAGCCTGCCAGGGTAGTGATTGGAATTGTGTTGAATTTGTAGATCAGTTAACATCTTTACAATATTGAGTCCTCTCGTGTGTGAAAATGATATATCCCTTCATTTATTTAAGTCTTCTTGAATGCTTTTTTCACCATATTTTGCAGTGTTCCATCCAGAGGAACTGTATATCTTTTATTAGACTTCATCCCTGATATTTGACATTTTGATCTTATTTAATAAATGGAATTCATTTTGAATTCTATTTTCTCTTTGTTGTTGGTATATAAAAATATAATGGATTTTGGTGTATTATATATTCATTGTCCTCGCTAAATTCACTTATAAATATTAATAGTTTTCAGAATCTTTTGCATTTTTTATGTGCACAGTTGTGTCATCAAACAAAGGTAGTTTCTCTCTTTTCAGTCTTTCGAATTTTATTTTATTTTTTGCATAGACTAGGGCTTCCAATACAATGTTTAATAGAAGTGGCAATAATGAGAAACTTTGGCTCATTTCCTGTCTCAGGTGGAAAACTTTCAATAATTTATCATTAAATATTATGTTTGTCATAGGACATTTTATAGGTTCTTTTAATCAAATTAAGGAATTTCTCCTTATTCCCAGTTCATGTTTTTGTTATGAACAGGTATTGAATATATTCAAATGGTTTTTCTGTGTTTATTGAGCATATGATTTTTCTCCTTTGTGTGAATGCGGTAAACTACAGCCATTGGTTCTGGAATGTGAAACTACTCTGGGATTCCTTAAATCATATTGGTCATGATGTCTTGTACTACTTAAGATTGCTGGATTCATTTTTCTAAAATGTTTAGGATTTTTATATTATTCATGACAAAATCATCTGTAATTTTTTTAATATCTTTCTCAAGTGTTGATAGCAATGTTAGACTAGTCATAAAAACAAGTTGAAAAGTATTCTCTTTTTTTTTCTGGAAGAAATTGTTGAAGATTGTTATTATTTCTTTCCAAGATGCTTCAGAGAATTCAATTGTAAATCCATCTGATGATGTTATTTTTTTTTTTAAAGATTTTATTTATCTATGAGAGAGAGAGCACATGAGAGGGGGAGGGTCAGAGGGAGAAGCAGACTCCCTGCCGAGCAGGGAGCCCAATGCGGGACTCAATCCAGGGACTCCAGGATCATGACCTGAGCCGAAGGCAGTCGCTTAACCAACTGAGCCACCCAAGCTCCCTGCTCAGCAGGGAGTCTGCTTCTCCCTCTGACCCTCTCACCTCTCATGTTCACTCTCTCTCTCATTCTCTCTCTCAAATAAATAAATAAAATCATAAAAAAAAAAAAAAAGCTGCAGCCTGAGAGTCTGGCTCCCAATCAGCCTAAAACTAAGAGCTGACTGAGATCCCACTCTTGGGAACAATAACAGGTCTTGGCACATTCTCAATGACTGGAGCCTATCAAGAATAAATCAGGCTGCTTAGACAATTGTAGAGATTCAAGAAACAACCAAGAGTTAGGGCAAAGTTGAACGACAAGGTTCATCTCCTACATAAGGTCATTCCTTCAAGGCAGAGAGGGGTAGCCATTTCTCCTAACATGCAGAAACAAACATAAAAAGTCATGTAACGTGAGGAAATAGAGGAATATGTTCCAAAGGAAAGAACAAGATAAAACCTCAGAAAAAAAAATTAATGAAATGGAATTAAGTAATTTACCTGTTAAAGAGTTTAAAGGAATAGTGATAAATTTGCTCACCAAACTTGGGAGAATGGGTGAATGTAGTGAGAAATTCAACAAAGAGATAAAAGATATAAGGAAGTACCAAACAGTAGTCACAGAGCTGAAGAATACAAAAACAGAACTGGAAAACGTACTAGAGGCATTCAACAGCAGACAAGACAAAACAAGAAAGAATGAGTGAGCTAGAATACAGTGCAGTGGAACTCACCCAGAGTGGCATATAGAAAAAAAGAATTTTAAAAAGTTAATATAACTTAAGGTACCTTGAGACAGTATCAAGTAGAATAACATTCACATTATAGAGGTCCAAAAGAAGAGAGAGAGAAAGGGGCAGAAAAATTATTTTAAGAAATAATGGCAGAAAACTAACCTAACCTGGAGAAGGAAATAAACATCCAGATCCAGGAATCCCAGAGAGTTACAAATAAAATGAACTCAAAGATATTCACAATAAGACACATTATAATTAAAATGTCAAAAGTAAAGATAAAGAATCTTAAAAGCAATAAGAAAAAACATGTTTTATGTACAAGTGAACTCCCATAAGAATCTCAGCAGGTTTTTCAGTAGAAACTTTGCAGACCAGAAGAAAGGGTCATGGTATATTCAAAATGCTGAGAGGAAAAAACTTCTAACCAAGAATACTTTATCTGGGAAGATCATCATGTAGAATTAAAGGAGAAATAGTTTTCCAGGTAAGCAGAAACTAAAGGAGTTCATCACCATTAAACTGGTCTTATACGAAATGTTACAAGGACTTCTTTAACCTGAAAAGAAAGGGCGCTAATTAGTAACAAGAAAACATGAAAGTACAAATCTCACTGGTAATGGTAAATATATAGGAAATATGGTAGAATAATCACTTATAAAGCTAGCGTGAAGGTTAAAAGACAAAAGTAATAAAAACTGCAACAATTATTTAAAGGACATATAAAGTAAAAGATGTAAAATGTGACAATAAAAACATAAAATGGGAGTGAGTGTGAGAAAGTCAAGTTTTAGAATGCATTCATATTTAAGTTGTTATCAACTTAAAATAGACTGTTAGATATATAGGATGTTGTGAGAGCCCCATGTACTGACAAAGCAAGCAACTAGAGCAGATACACAAAAGATAATGAGAGAAGAATCTAAACATGGCATTAAAGAAAGGCATCAGGGGGCGCCTGGGTGGCTCAGTCGTTAAGCGTCTGCCTTCGGCTCAGGTCATGATCCCAGAGTCCTGGGATCGAGCCCCGCATCAGGCTCCCTGCTCAGGGGGAAGCCTGCTTCTCCCTCTCCCACTCCCCCTGCTTGTGTTCCCTCTCTCACTGTGTCTCTCTCTGTCAAATAAATAATAAAATATTAAAAAAAAAAAAAAAAAAAAAAGAAAGGCATCAGACCACAAGGGAATAGAGAAAGAAAGGAACAGAGAAGAACTACTAAACAATTGAAAAACAATTAACAAAATGACAATAAGTACATACCTATCAATAATTACTTTAAATGTAAATGGACTAAATATTCCAATCAAAAGATGTGGAGTAGATGAACAGATAAATGAAAACAAGACCCATATATACACTGTCTCCCATTCAAGTATTAACCAGGCCCGACCCTGCTTAGCTTCCGAGATCAGACGAGATCGGGTGCGTTCAGGGTGGTATGGCCGTAGACGACCCATATATATACTGTCTAAAAGAGACTCACCTAAGATGTAAGAACACACTGAGACTGAAAGTGAAGGGATGCAAAGCAATATTTTATGCTAATGGAAACCAAAAGAAAGCTGGGATACCTATACTTATCAGACAAAAGAGATTAAAATGAAGACTGTAGTAAAAGACAAATAAGGGCATTAAATGGTGGTAAAGGAGTCAGTCCAACAAGAGGCTATAACATGAAATATTTATGCACCCAACATACTTAGCACTTGAGTCTATAGAGTAAACAGTAACAGACCTAAAGGAAGAAATAGACAGCAATACAAAATATAATAATAGCAGAGGACTTTAATACCCTACTTATGGGTGGCTCAGTTGTTGAGCATCTGCTTCGGTTCAGGTCATGATCCTGTGGTCCTGGGATCAAGACCTGCATTGGGCTCCCTGCTCAGCCAGGAGCCTGCTTCCTCTCCCATTCCTTCTGCTTGTGTTCCCTCTCTAGCTGTGTGTCTCTCTTTCTCTCTCTGTCAAATAAATAAATAATTAAAAAAAAAAATACCCTACTTACACCAGTGAATAGGTCATTAAGACAGAAAATCAGTAAGGAAATATTGGCCTTGACACATCAGACTGACAGACTTAATAGATATATACAGAATATTCCATCCAAAGAAGCAAGTTGTATATTCTCAAGTGCACCTGGGACATTCTCCAGGGTAGAGTACATGTTACATGCTTAAGTATGTCAAATCTCAATAAATTTAAGAAGACTGAAATCATATCAAGCATATTTTCCAACCACAATGATCTGAAACTAGAGAGCAATTACAAGAAGAAAAATGGAAAAATCACAAATATGTGGTTATTAGACAATATTCTACTCCATAACCAATGGGTCAATGAAGAAATCAAAGGTGAAATAAAAAAAAATACTTTGAGACAAATTACAATAGAGATATAATAATCCAAAATCTGTGGGATGTAGCAAAAGCAGTTCTAAGAGGGATGTTCATAGTGATACAGTTTTACCTCATCCAAACTCATTTTATGAGGCCAGCATTACCCTGATACCAAAACTAAAGATACCACGTATATAAAGGAAGGGAGGGAGGGAGGAAAGGGAGAGTGAAGAAAGGAAGGGGAGGAGAGAGGAGAGGAGAAAAAATTACAGGCCAATATTCCTGACGAACATATATGCAAAAATCCCCAACGAAATATTAGAAAGCTTAATTAAACAATACATTAAAATGATCATACAGCATGGTCAAGTGGGATTTATTCCAGGGATGCAAGAATAGTTCTACATCCACAAACCAATGTGATACAACAGATTAACAAAACAAAACGTAAAAATTACATGATCATCTCAATAAATGGAAAAAAAGCATTTGACAAAATTCAGCATCCATTTATGACCAAAAACTTTCAACAAGGTGAGTATAGATGGAACATACCTCAACATAATGAAAGCCATATATCATAAGCCCACAGCTAACATCATACTCAATGGTGAAAAGCTGAAAGCTTTTTCTCCAAGATCAGGAACAAGACAAGGATGCCCACCTTTGCCACTTTTATTCAACATAGTATTGGAAGTTTTAGCCACAGCAGTTAAGCAGGAAAAAGAAGTAAAATGTATTCAAAGTGAAAAGGAAGAAATAAAATTGTCATTATTTTTGGACAACATGATTTTATATAGAATTTATATTTATTTTCTATATGGAATTTATAGAGAAAACTCTAAAGACTACCCTAAGACTGTTAGAACTAAGAAACAGGGACGCCTGGGTGGCTTAGTCAGTTAAGTGGCTGCCTTCAGCTCAGGTCGTGATCTCAGGGTTCTGAGATTGAGTCCCACATTGGACTCCTTGCTCACTAGGGAGCCTGCTTCTCCCTCTGCCTGCTCTGCCCGCTGCTTCCCCTACTTGTGCTCTCTCTCTCTCTGACAAATAAATAAATAAAATCTTTAAAAAAAAAAGAACTAAGGGCGCCTGGGTGGCTCAGTTGGTTAAGCGACTGCTTTCGGCTCAGGTCATGATCCTGGAGTCCCGGGATCGAGTCCCGCATCGGGCTCCCTGCTCGGCAGGGAGTCTGCTTCTCCCTCTCCCACTCCCCGTTTGTGTTCCCTCTCTCGCTGTGTCTCTCTCTGTCAAATAAATAAATAAAATCTTTAAAAAAAAAAAAAAAAGAACTAAGAAACATTTAATAAACTTGTAGTGTACAAAATAAATCTACAAAAACCTGTTGCATTTGTATATACTAACAATGAACTATCAGAAAGAGAAATCTAAAAAACAGTTCCATTTACAATTTCATCAAAAAGAGTGAAATACCTAGTAATAAATTTAACCAAGGAGGTGAAAAACCTGTGCTCTGAAAACTATAAAATACTGATGAAGGATACTGAAGAAGACACAAATAAATGGAAAGATATTCCATGCTCATGGATTGGAAAAATTAATTTTGTTAAAATATACTACCCAAAGCAATCTACAGATTCATTAAAATCTCTATCAAAATTCCAATGAAGGGTACCTGGGTGGCTCAGTCATTAAGCATCTGCCTTCAGCTCAGGTCATGATCCCAGGGTCCTGGGATAGAGCCCTGCATTGGGCTCCCTGCTTATCGGGAAGCCTCCTTCTCCCTCTCCCACTCCCCCTGCTTGTGTTCCCTCTCTTGCTCTCTCTCTCCCTCTTTCTCTGTGTCAAAATAAATAAATAAATAAATAAACCTTAATTAAAAAAAAATTCCAATGACATTTTCACCAAAATATCACAAACAGACCAAAAACTTGTGTGAAACCACAAAAGAACTCCAATAGCCAAAACAGTCTTCAGAAAGAAAAACAACACCAGAGGCATCATGCTCCCTGATTTCAAATTATATTGCAAAGCTATGTTAATCAGAATACTGGGGTATTGGTATAAAAATAGACAGATGAATGGAACAGAATAGAAAACCCAGAAATAAACCCTTGTATATATTGTCAATTTTCAAAAATTTACAACAAAGTAATGGGGAAAGGACAGTCTCTTCAATAAATGGTGTTAGAAAAACTAGATAGCTACGTGCAAAAGAATGAATCTGGACCACTCCCTTACAACATACACAAAAATTTATTCAAAATCGATTGAAAACTTGAACATGGGGCTTGAAATCATAAAACTTCTAAAAGAAAATATAAGCCTGAAGTTCCTTAACAATGGTCTTGATGATGATTTTTTTAGATCTGACTCCAAAAGCAAAGGCAACAAAAGCAAAAATAAACAAATGGGACTACATCAAACTAAAAAGCTTCTGCACAGCAAAGGCAACCCCCAACAAAATTAAAAGGCAACCTACTGAATGGGAGAAAATATTTTCAACTCATAAATTCAATCAGAGGTTAATACCCAAAATATATAAAGAATTCCAGCAACTCCACAGCAAGAAAACAACCCAATTAAAAAATGACAGAGGACTTGAACATTTTTCTAAAGAAGACATACAGATGGGGTGCCTGGGTGGCTCAGTTGGTTAAGCGACTGCCTTCAGCTCAGGTCATGATCCTGGAGTCCCTGGATCGAGTCCCACATCGGGCTCCCTGCTCGGCAGGGAGTCTGCTTCTCCCTCTGACCCTCCCCCCTCTCATGTGTTCTCTCTCATTCTCTCTCTCTCAAATAAATAAATAAAATCTTTAAAAAAAAAAAAAGACATACAGATGGCTGACAGGCACATGAAAAGATGCTCAGCATCACTAATCATCAGGAAAATGGAAAGCAAAACCACAATGATATACCACCTCATGCATATTAAAATGGCTATTATCAAAAAAGACAAAAAATAACAAGTGTTGGAGAGGATGTGGAGAAAAGGGAACCCTAATGCCCTGTTGGTAGGAATGTGAATCGGGGCATCCACTATGGAAAATAATATGAAAGTTGCTCAGAATTTTTTTTAAGTGCCATCTGATCCAGCATCTACTTCTGGGCGTTTATCTGAAGAAAATGAAAACACTAAACCAAAAATACATATACACCTCTATGTTTATTGTAGCATTTACTGTAGTCAAGGTATGGAAACAAACTAAGTGTCCATCAATGGATGAATGGTTAAAGATGTGGTATATATATGTATACAATGGAATGCTAGTCAGCCATTAAAAGAGAATGAAATCTTGCCATTTGTGACAACATGGGTGGACCTTGAAGGAATTGGGCTCAGTGAGATGAGACAAAGAAAGACAAATACTGCATGATTTCACTTATAAGTATAATCTGATAAACAAAAGTAACAAAACAAAACCCATGAGAAGAAAACAAGGAGGAAAGATGCCCCAAAATCTTCCATATGTCAGTACATCTTGGTATCACAAAAGGAACACAAAAATTATAATTGTAGGAAATGTGAAGAGAACTGTTTTAAACTCTGAAACAGGGTGATGGGGTGGCTCAGTTAAGCATCTGCCTTCAGATCAGGTCACGATCTCAGGGTCCTGGGATCAAGCCCCGCATCAGCAGGGAGCCTGCTTCTCCCTCTCCCTCTACCATTCCCTCCCACTCATGCTCTCTTTCTCTCTCTCAAATAAATAAATAATTTTTTTTAAAAGCTATGAAATGTACAATAGCAGCTTTATAGGACATGGGTTAAGGTTTTATCTGTTCCACACCAGAATAAAAAGTCAAAAATGTTTTATGATACAAAATTAAAGCTATGACTATGAATACCATCTTGAATTATATTATTATATCATAATATATTATTATGAATAATAAGAATAAATATTAAGAATGAATAAGAAGAATAAAATGAATAACTTAATTTTATTCATTAGTCATAATAAAAATTATTTAATTGTCTCTTCTCAGTCCCTATGCTACCCTATCCCTCTTAGTTTAAATTAAGAATAGAAAACAATCAGTGCCAAATTTAAGTCAGTAAACAAGTCAGCAGTTTTTTAAAAAGTAAAGAAAGATGGTCTCATCTTTGAGACTGTGTCTTGATCATCATTAAACCTCAAATTCTCAGGCTAGAGAGAATAAATAATGGGCACCCCTCCCTTTTATTCTCCAGCCCCCTCCTCCATCTAAAGACTATAATGAGTAGTATAATTGTAACTAGTAAGTCAGGGTTGCTGGCATACAAATATGGCAATTCCTTAACATGTAGCTTCTCCAAAAATGTCATGTCACAATCCCAAGCAGCAGGTGCCTTTCTCCCCACTAACTCTAATGGTCTATATCATGCATATTAGCCAATTTAGCAATTGCTTTGGGACCTTTGTGTTTCATTAATGAATAAAGAAAACAGCGATTGGAGGTATTACAGTTATTTCTTTACAGGAGTGATGGACCCTGTAATGAGTTCATTGCAAAACTCTTATTAACTTGTCTTGACCTGGATAGCTTCTCTTTATAGCAGAGATGGGAAATGTTGCTCTAAAGGTTAATACAGTCCTTGGTTTAAGTTTATGGCTACCCCAGGTAAGGATCATGAAGTGAAATCGTTGTTTTTATCTAATACGTATCTTGACCTTTACAGTCTTTAGTAATAATACCTTTGATATCCACAAAATGGAAATGTTTTTAAAGCTAGTCTCTGTGTGTTTTTCTAAGTGTCTCACTCTGTAATACTCATACACATGTCTGACTCTGTATTATTTTGAGTATTTATCACTCTTCATATCTCTTTATATGTTCTCTGAACTCCTGTGGGGCGTGTGTGTGTGTGTGTAGGGAATTCTCCCTTCCTACCTCTTCCCATCACTATCACTCTCTTCCTATTTCCATGTTATGTGTGTCTTTGCATATGAATTGGCATCTCTCTGTGTCTATCATAAATCTACTTATCTGTGTGTATATCTGTCATTTTTGTTCTGCCCAGGTTAGTGTATGTGACACGTTATTTCCTGTTCTCTCTTCTTCTGACTCTTTACCTTCTAATCCATTTCATTTTCTGTCTTTGTCACTTTGTGCCTGCTTTCTTTATTCTTCATTGCTCTTTTTACTCATTATGTGCAGATATTTTTTCAACTACCCATTATTTAGAACCAAAATATGTTTTATCAGTATTCATTTTTGAATCATATTGTATTCTTCCTATACTTAATTTAAAGGTGAAATAATGGAACATTTATTTTGTAGACTCATGGGATTATTCAAAGGGAAGGGTCCTAATGAAGCTAAATTACTCACCTTCTAGATTAAAACATTGAATCCTAAAAAGGTTATGTGACTTATTGGAGGACACACTGTTCTCTAAACATAAAAGTTGATCCAGAATAAATACTGTTTTTTTAAACTTTTTAGTGAAGCTGAACTGATTTTTCTGCAGTTAAAATGCTAAAAACAAGAAAAAAAAAAACATGGTTTCCCATTTTTTCCCCAATGCTCCTTTAAAAGTAAAAACTGGGATTTCTTTTTATTTAAAGAAACTGTATGAGAGTTTTTGCTTTGCTTTTTGCCCTTTTTGGAAAAGTAGATGCTATGTTTTCAAATTTTTTTCCAGCCCCTTCTTTATCATGGAACATCTGTGATTAGGTAACACAGGAAAACATGTTTATGTTGTTTCAGAACTAGTTAAATGTCTACGATATTTGGTGTAAAATAATTTTACAGATAGTATATATTACACATTCCTATTAGTCATAATAACCTATTTTCATTTTGTTGAATAAATTTAAATTTTTGCATCCTATTTTGCCACTCATGTGTAAACAATAAATTACTATTTTAATTTGTTAATGGCTAGATATTATAAAACAGTACATACAGAAACTAAAACATTTTATAAAGACAAATGAGAAATTTTGCCGAAAAATGAATTTCAGTTAAGTCCATTTTAATAACAAAAAATTCTGATCCACTTTACCTAAAAAATAATTACGTTTAAAAATATATGTAGGGGCACCTGGGTGGCTCAGGGAGTTCAGCATCAACTCTTGATTTCAGCTCAGGTCATGATCTGAGGGTTGTGAGATTGAGCCCTGTGTTGGGCTCCACACTGGGGGTGGACCCTGCTTAAGATTCTCTCTCTCTCTCTTTGTCTCTCTCTCTCCCTCTCTAAAATATATGTATGTATATATGTAAAATATACATATATATGTAGAAAAGCTTTAATAGAGGAATAATGTGATATTGATCACAGGGCTTCAGGGGTTATTAAAAAAAAACAGTATTAAAGTAAAAATAGAGTGAAACTTGCAATATACAAATGACTGTATCAGAATTTCCAGAGATACAGTTCATTTTATATTTACCTCTAATCATGTTACTTCTAAGTATTCCTCAGAGGAGTAAACAGTTTAGATTTGTTCTTTTCATTTGTGTCAAGTAAATAAATGTTTCATCCTTTTCCAGATATGTTTGCTATATAGTGCTAGTCATTATTAGTCATTACTACAAATATGGATAGTAAAAAAGAGAAACTTAAATCAAGCTAAAGCTTGGCTTTTTCACTCTTTGTTCAAAAATAGACATTTGTCCCAGTTGATTAATTTCCTATCAAAGACCATGATTAACAGATTGTTCTAGTTGTTACCAGTCAATCCTGCCTTTAATATGAACTACATTTTTTAACCAAAGAAAAGCATCTTTACAAGAAATATAAGAAAATGGTGTTTGTCTACTTAGTATTATATTATGACATATAGCTTGTGATTTCTTAGAAATCCATCATCTTGGAAGTTTTCTTTATGTAGTTAATAATTACATCATAACGTTTATTTATTAAATCCTTCATTCATGAAACATCTAATGAGTGACCACTATGTACCACATGCTGTTCTACTCATCATAATCAATTCCCAACCTCACTTTATTTAAAGGACATTGAGAGTCACATAGGGCTTGGCATTTCAGCAATTTATATCTCTTCAATTTAGAATTGCTAAATAGTTTGAGGCTGAGCATTAAGGGGGGGCGTGGATAGTAGTTAAAAGTTTCTAACGTATGCATCTTGACTTTGCCTCCTGTAATTTCACCCTGAGATGGGGATTCTTACTAGGTTGTGTGTCCTGAGTACATCTCTGTTTGATCTGACAGGTCCTGATTTTGCCTGTTATTCCATCATGATTTTTAATAGCTCCCTCTTTCACTCTCATGAGTGGTCTACTTTATGATAGTAAATGTATGTGTATGTATGTATATTTTCTCTCTCCAGTTGTGAGAACAAAACATCAGGCCCTCTGTGGTGGGCCTGGCCCAGGACTCGGTGACTGTAACTGTTTCCACTGCTGATGTTCTTCACAGCAGCAACACCCTCTTCTTTTGACATGTCAGTGAAGTTGAGAAGTTTGGCCTGTCCAAAAACCCCGA